AGCCTTTCCAAGTAGCCAGAATTACAGGTGCGTGCTACCACGCCCGGCTGATTTTTTGGATTTATTGTAGAGATGAGGTCTCGCTGCCCAGGCGGGTCTCGAACCCATGGGCTCAGGCAATCCACTCACCTCAGCCTCCCAAAGGCGCGGGATTACAGGCTGAGCCACCGAGCCCAGCTCACTTGCAGGTTTTTGTGTGAACATGTTTTCAGTTCTCTTGGGTATATAACTGAGTGGAATCAATGGGTCATATAGTAACTCTACGAGGAGGACCCACAAAATTCCAGAATGTATTTATTTTTTAAATGTGTGGTTATTTTTACATGTTTAAACTTGGAATACACGTATTGAGATGCTTTTCCCACTGCTCAAAACAGTTTTTGAACTCATCAATTTTGATGCCCTTTAGGGCTTGTGCTCTTCTTTGTTTCACCTCTTCCACACTGGCAAAACATTCCCCTTTGACAACTTTTTTTCATCTAGGAAAACAAAACAAAAAAAGTCACCCAGGGCGAGATCTGGTGAATAGGGAGGGTGGGACACAAGAGTCATGCTGTTTTTGGTCAAAAACTGCTGAACAATCAGTGCAGTATGGGCAGTGCAGTATGGGTGATATGGACAAATGCTTTGAAAGATGCTCCAAATCAATTCACTAAAGCCGAACACAGCCTTTCACAGCAACACTAGCTGGTACACCGATGCCATCAGTTCCTAGAACACTTACCTAGTGGGGGAAGCCTGTACTACAAGGCCCCCACCCTCCAAAAAATAACTACAGGTTCTTTTGGTCCCCCCTCTTAGGGTTAACTTCTTGAGGAACTGCTAAACTATTTTCTGAATATGCACTTTTCATAGTTATAATCAGGGTAAAAAGACTGTTTTGTAGCTTTTATGCAATACATCAAGTATTGTTCTTATGTGGCCAGTTCCACCCTTTTAACATTAATTCTTCTCTTTTATAAACTTGGATTAATTCCCCTTATCTTGTTATTAGTAGTATAGCTCTGCAAGGTTGTTTCTCATTGTTCAAATTTCATAGTTATGGTTTAGATCCTAAGTGGGAAAACGAGTACAACCCATCAACACAGAGTTTTCTGTGCTTGTGAAGGGAACACCTGGCTCTGCTGCAGCATAAGTCACAACACAACCCTGCAGTTGAAGCATCTGCCTTTGAGGTGCTCTTCTCTGCCTACCCTCCCCCTCAGAAGTCTAGGGACTGTACACATGGGTGACTCAGCGTTTGCTGTTCATCATGAGTCAGCAGTAGGGAGGCTTGCGAGTCTGTGGGAAAGCTCTGGCTCCTGCATCCCTGCTGCACACCTACATGCCCACGTTCTTTCTTTTTCAGTAAGGACTTGAGGTTGCCAGCCGGGCTTCAGCATTCACTGGCCATGGAGGCTGAAGCACAGAGACAGGCCAAAGTGCGGGTGAGCCAACAATGAAGACTCCAGCCTCCCACTGAACCTTTGAGGGGCACAGGGAATCCAAAAGGCCTGCTCACAGAGAACATTGCTCCCTTGCTTCTTTGCCTTCCATTCATCTGGACGCTCGGCGGAATCTGGCTTTTACCCTTACTGTACTATTAAAATTGTTCTCTTCAAGTGTGTTAATATAGCCTCTTAACTGACTAATGCAACATCCTTCTCAGAAGCTGCTGACAACCGTGGCCACCTCCTGCCTGAGTATGGCCTTCTGTCTTCTTAGAGGCATCTCCTCCCCGCACAGCATCCTTCTTCTCTAGTGCTGGCATCTTTCTGGGGGCAATCTCAGTCACTTGTCACCTGTCACCTCTAGGTGCATGGCCTCTAGGTTAGCCCAGAACTGTAGCACTAGCTCAATGCAGGTTTTGGCAGGACAGCCATTAGGGCCCAGTTCTCTCGATTTCAGAGCCAAGAGACACTGTGCCAACCATAACCTCTACTCAGGCATGCCAGTGAGAAGCAAAGGTCTGGTAGCCAGCTTCTAGGGTGTGGGTGGGATGTTGGGAAGAGAAAAATGAAGAATGAAAGGAGGAAGATTTCTTTCAAAAAACAGAGTGTGTAAGGAAAAAGCCCTAACCACATAAGAGGATCCTTAACTTTGGAGGGCATGGGAGTGTGAGGAGGAGGAAGGGAAGAAAGGTCGTTCCCTGGGCGCTGTGCTCTTAAACCTCTGAGCCAAATCCTCTCCAGCCACTTTCAGGGGATGTGGGAGTGGTAAGTTCAGTGCTTTCTCTTCTGAAATGTTTACCCATTCACATTGCCTGAGCTGGGTGTCACCCTTTCATAACTCTGTGCCTTTGCCTGGAATAACCTTTTCTGGTCAGCCTTTCCTCTATATTGGCAATATTCTACCAATCTCTCAAGGTCCGCCAGACATTAATAACTCCTCTAACACTTCCTTTATACTTGCCATGGCTCCTAACAAATTACAATTAATAGTTTAATCTGTCTCCTATCTCAGGATCCTTCTGAAAGACTGAACCTGTTCTGTGCTTACAGTGTCTGCCACATAGCTAATGCTCAGTGCTTGTTTGCTGTCACACGGAATAGTGATTAGTGATTAAAACTTTGATGGAACGAAGAACAGTCACTTTGCTTTTCTTCACATCTGTTTTCTAGATGATTGCTGCGGAAGGGGAAAAAGCTGCCTCTGAGTCCCTGAGGATGGCAGCTGAGATTCTGTCAGGCACCCCGGCTGCTGTTCAGCTTCGATACCTTCATGCACTTCAGTCTCTGTCCACAGAGAAACCTTCCACTGTGGTTTTACCTTTGCCGTTTGACATGCTGAATCTCCTGTCTTCTTCCAGCAGTAGAACTCAGGGAAGCCTCCCCTACCCAAATCCTTCCAAACCTGTGGAGCCACTAAATCCTAAAAAGAGAGACTCTCCTATGTTATAGAGGGCATGGGGTCAAAAAAATGTGACCAAAAAGGGGCCTGCCGTATAAAAGTCACATCCCTGAGTGAGGCACTCTCTCCTTACTGCCTCCCCTTACTTTGGTTGCCGTCTGGACTGTCCATGGAATGCATGAAATCATAATGCAGCAACATACTTGATAAGCCAGTGAAATACGACAGAGAAGGCATATCACAAGTTTAGGGGGATCATCTGATCACAGCAATGATGAGAACAGCTTTGGAAAGAAATTGGAGTCTAGATATGGCTAAATTTTGACTTCTGGAGAACTTATTTCAAATATCCTTTTTACTTTATGTCCTCTGGCCCCTTTGGCAAGGTCTCTGCGGCTCCCACAGCCTCTCCTACAAACATCTATCACTGTGCTTGTCACACTCTGCAATCCTGTAGGTAAGATGCAGGCTTCTCTCCAACTACACTGCCAGTTCTTCAGAGGGATGTATGTCTTAGTCCTTTTCCCTGTCACAATCTTTTTGTTCCACCCCACATTCCTTATACCTCACCCTGATAGTTACACCATAGTGACACTTAGATGTTCCTGAATGAGTGGGGGGGGGGAGAAGGGACGTACTCAGGTTGAATATAAAACGTATACCTAAGTAAAAAAATTTTAAAGGAATTCTTTTTATGGAGACTCCTGTTTTAAATAAACAAAAGGACAAAAACATTTATCTGATACATGTTACTTAAAATTTAGGAATCACTCTAAATGGGCTGAGTAATGTATTTTCGGTATAGAATTGACCAGCTTGCTTGTTTCTTCAGTGGTATCATGTGATTTATACATACCTGATGTATTCTTATTCTTTTCTTGTACAGACAATTCTTTTTTTTTTGAGTCAGAGTCTTACTCTGCTACCCAGGCTGTAATGCAGTGACACAATCACAACCACCACAGCCTCGACCTGCTGGGCTCAAGCAATCCTTCAGCATCAGCCTTCCAAGTAGCTGGAACCATGGGCATGCACCACCACACCCAAGTTATTTTTGTTTTTAATTTATTGTAGAGACAAGGTCCCATCAAGTTGCCCTGGCTGGTCGTGAACCCCTGGGCTCAGGTAATCCTCTTGTCTCTGCTTTCCAAAGTGTTGGGATTAGAGGCATGAGCCACCACGCCCAGCTCAGACATTTCTTAATATAAATACAGTTCTGTATGTCTTATCTTCTATTTATTTGCCTTATGCAATTAGAAATACATATCTACAGAAAAATAAGACAAGTAAAACAAGCATATCTAAGTTTATGGCAAATTCTCTAAAAACCTTTTAAAAATCACTAACATTATACAATGTTACTAACATTACTAAAATACGACTAAAATATTAGTAAATGTGACTTATCATGGGAGGAATTTCCATGTTGGCACAGAGAGAGATGATCGTAACTATCCCTAGGACCTCACTATTTGGTTCTCAAACTCTTTGTGTTATCTGATGTTATTATTTTATATTGGAGAGTGTTCCTGCAGTGGGAACTTAAAATATTTTGCATAAAAACAAACATTAAGAGTTTTTTATTTATGAATGTTAGCCATGAAACCCTGCTGAACATTTCAGTGAATAATGCACCTGAGCTCCTAAAAATGGACCTAGAAGCTTTTGTAGCATTTTGCCTGTTGCAGACAGTTTTCCACTATGCTTAAGTGACAAAAACAAGACCCAAGATAAGGATGCTTTGCCTTTCCTATTATTCTCTCTCTGCCTTCTCTCTGTCCTCTTTCCCTTTAAACAAAACAAAACAAAAAAATGCCTAGCGTTATCTTGTGAAATGATCATCTTGTGAAAGGGTTATCTCTGTCATGTATCGCTAGGCCACCTCTTACCTCCATCCACAGCTGGGAAAGCCACTGGTTGGTCTCCTCTGATGTCTGGCACTGGTCGATATTTAAATTTCTCATTAGCATGCCAGAGGGCACCTTTCCGGTCTGCTTGAGTGGCCTGGGTTGTCTTTCAGGTTAACTAGCTGTTGCAGTGGGTGGGCTTGTTGGGAAGGAAATAACGGGAATAAGTTGCTACAAAATTGTTTGGGGTGAAAGGGTAATAGTGAATTGTCACAGGCAGATTCTGAGTAGATGAGCGAGCAGATTGTGCTGTCTGCAAGCTCCTAGCAGCAGAAGTAGTCTCTCGAGCCTCAGGTGCTGCCTTCTGATGGTTACTGGTCTTGAAGTGACAAGTGGAGAACAAGCTAAAACTATGATATGTTCTGGGGAACAGTTTTCTGGGGGGGAGAATTTACTTTAATATTAATAGAGTTGGCAGTCAGCTGATAAACAGGGATAAGATGTTTCAATTTGGTGTTGGAGTCCACCATGACCAAAACGACATGGCCATGAGAGTGGGACAAGTCTTTGGCACATTCCATGACAATGATGTTCCAGGGCATTTGGGCATTTTCAGTTAGGTAGTGAAGCTTTGGTCTGTCTAGACCTGCATTTATTGTGCAGGCAGGTGGCATAGGGGCTGGTGTACACAGGTTGTAGGCCCCACGTCCCCAGAAGTGTACCCTAAGGAGGCTTTGAAGACCTGCCTTAGAATTTCGAGGGCCACCCTGGCCCACCAGTGTATCAGGATGGAGCTGGGGCTCTGTAGTTTGGACTCGCCTATCTGGAGGCCTCGGCAGGTCATTCTGCCAATGCCTCTGCATTCCACATTGTTGGGGACCATGTTTGGATGGCTCTGAGTATGCGCCTCCTTGCTAGGTTGCTCCTGGCCCCTACAATGTTCTTTGGCAGAGGGTCTATTGGGCCTATGAGGATCCCAACACCCTTTAGAATTCTGACTTTTCTTGTTAGTGCATTTGCTCTGTAGCTGAACTGAGTGTTAAGTAGAGGACATGGAAGTCAAATCCTTTGAAAGAGGGGTCATCAGCTTTTTCTGTTCTTGGAAAGGCATTATAGTACAGTGGCGACTGTAAGTACAGTAGCTGGAAGCGTGGGCTCTGCTGTCAGACATACTGGATTGGATTCAGGCTCTATCACCAACTAGCTGTTTTACCTCGGGCAACTCAGAGTCGTTGAGATTAAATGAGATAATGTGTGTGACATGCTTAGCACAGTGTCTGCAGAAGGTAAGTGCATTCTAAATAATAACTACTACAATTATTCCAGTTTTACCTCCGAAGCAGTAAATGACAGCCATTAGGCTGTATGCTAATAGGGGCCTGGTCCCCTCCACGTGTTGCCCCAAACTTCAGAGGTAGCCCTGATGGCCAGTAGTGCCCGTTCCCAGGTGGCTGTTTGAGGACAGAACCAGCTTCAGAATTTGCACGTGTGGTCTGTGTTTGAGTCCCACCTTATTACAAGCATTTTTTCCAAAGTGCACAGGTGTTTGAGATCACAGTAGAACAAAAGCAGGACAGAAGAGTTTCTACAGGTAGCCTAAAGTATGCCTCTTGGTGGGCAAGAGTTACAGCCCAAAATCATACAATCTCTTCTTTCTTGGTTGGGTTTGACCATTTAGATGGCCAGAGTGAAGAATGAGGGATGAATTACCTTGTGGCACCTTGTGAACTCCAGGATCTCTTGGACATCTGGATTGGGGTTAGGAGTGAAGATAACTTGCTTGCCATATAGTAGTTTGCCTTGGCAAGACAGATCATGGAAACTTAATATTTGGGTTTTTTAAAGTGTTTCTCATGGCTGGCCTAGAGGTCACCTAAAGTGTGCCTCTGCCAGATCAGGTGTTCATGGGACCCAAACCCTGCAAGTACAAGAGTGTCTTTCAAACAGAGGCCACTGCAGTCTCTCACAAGAGCCCCTTCATCAGACACTTAAGAACAGGAGCACTGATCGGATTAAACAGCAGTACTGCACACTGGGATTGCTAAGGGGACATTAGTCATGTTCTTAGATGAACCATTTTAGACAAGTTACATTTCTTGAAAACCTGCACTCTGCAGAGTTAATCTTCAGGTCAGGGGGATAGTGGACTTGCTTAGCAATCCTAAGTGGGAGATTGCCTTAGGGCTGTGGAAGACCTTGCTAGAATGAGTGCTCCGTTTTTCTGAGGCAGAGATGGACATCCTGATGCACTCTAGGCACTGCTTCATATCAGTATAGCTACAGAGTGCCTCAGCCTCAGACAGCAAGCATTTCAGTGTTGCCAGTATATGGTCCTAGGCAGCTGGGCCACAGTAGTTCTATTCCTACTTTTAGAGAAACTCCTCTGCTTCCTGTGGGAAAATACCTGCTGGAAGGTAGGACACTTATTTGGGATTCCAGAAATGTACAGATAGTGCTCTAGAGCTCTGGAGCCTGCAAACAGAATTTCCAGCAGTCACTGAAAGCAAAATGCAAGATGTAGGTTCCCCAAATAATATCTAGGTCATTGATCTCCAGCTAAGAGAGGCCAAGAACAAGAAGAAATACAGTCACTGCATGCTACACAGTACCAGACAAGGGACTTGCTCACCTAACTTCCTTAGGTCCCTAAGTACCCTATGGTGTGCACCTTGAAACACTCCCACCTCAGCTCTACAGGACGTGGATCATGTTGCCACTGAGATCAGGGGCTGGGACACACATGAATGTGATGAGGTCAACCAGTTCCCTCTCCTGGAGGGCCAGGGCAGCTTTCCAGGGGTGAGATCAGCACGGCTCCGGACATCTGAGTTCAAGTTGCTGGTCTCCCATCTCACCTGACAGCATGACTGCTGGTGATGAGCAGCAAGAGCTCCTCCCTCCACTCTGCTTGAGAGACCACCTCAGGGTCACCCCGAGAAGGTGTGGCAGGGTCTCAAGGACTATCAAGAACTTCCCACAAACCGGTTGCTTGGGAGAGTGAAGCTGCTCAGGCTGACTGGAGAGCAGTCGTGCAGTGCCTGCCCTGTAGCACACATTTCTTTAACCACCTGACATTCATCACACCTTCCGAACACCACCCTGATGGGTAGGGCATTTCCTTTCCCCATACTGTGTTCCATCTTAGTGGAACAGTAGAGCAAGGTGTCATACCTTCCAATTAAGGAAGCTAGAGAGAACTCAGGGGGGTAGTTTATGACCACAAGGGAAACTTTTTCTCTCTTGGGACTTTGAGACTTTGGCAGAAAAATGTAAGGATGGAAGAAATGATTGGAGTTTATTTGGTGGTAGCACTGGGGTGAGATAGAGAAGCAATTATTTCCCCTGAGATCTTTTAAACCTATTCGGTTCCTGTCTGCTTCTAGCCTGGTTCTTCAGGATTTCCCTTCAATTTCCTGAGTTCCCCAACACCCTTTCAATAAATGAAGCTTTTCCTTGGATCTACGAGAGTTATCTGTGGCTTGTAACCCCAGCTCACATAGATCCATGATGCCAAACATCTCATCCTAATTGTGCTGGCAGCAAACATAACTCTGACATGTAGAGACTGAGCCTTGTACCCAAAGAGCTGACATGTCATCTGGCACATTCTGAGGGACAAGGCTGTCGTGTTCAGGAATGGGGACTACTGATTTGTATGGAAATGACTACTCATTCAGGTGAAGTGGAAAAATAAAAGTTATTCTGCAACCCCACACAAAAGCACCAAATTTGCTAGTCATTCAGGAACTTCAATTGGGAAGGAGCAAAGGCAGGGCTGGCTCTGCCAGCAGGTGGCGACTGTAAGATGAGCCACTAGCTTAAGCTCTGTCTGTCAGTGTGGCTGTGAATACTGCCAAGTGTCTGAAGAATGTCATGTTTTCTTCCTCCAGAGGCAATGAGTGGGCTCGACCAGACTTCATCCAGTAGACTTAGGTATATCACACACTTTGATGAGGGCCAACGACAGGCCTGGCCAAGGGTTCGCTTAAATAAGTCTGGGGGCTCTGGAGTTAGGGGGTTTCTGAGGCTGAAAGAACAGGAAAAGTTTTAAGATTCCAGGAGACAAATTCAAAGAAATACCAAATATGTGGAGTTGAAGCAGGGGTAGAATTCTCATTATGGGTGTTTAGAGCTAAGAGCAAATGCAAGCAAGCCATGAGCAGAGAGGCAGGAGGGAGCCCTTGCTTAAGTGACTGCCCAGAACACCCATTTGTCACTTGCAACTGATTTCTGCAGGTTAGTCCATCTCTCATGCCTAGATGGACTCACAGTCATAAACAGAGCAGACAAATGAGACAATAAAAGCAGAAAATGAAGATTCTGGGTGCATCTTTCAGCACAGGCCCCGATGTAAGAAACCATCTGAGCAATGGCCTGGTGGCCCTTCACCATCGTCATACAGTCTAGACATGAGTCCCAGTGAGCTGGGGGCTCTGACACCCGTCCCCTCTGTGACTGTGGGAAGTCTTATAACCATTCTGGGCCTCAGTTTCATTTTCTGAGAAATGGGGATAACAGTATCTCCCCCACCTACTTTGTAGAGTTAGTTTGAAGTTCAGATAAATTATAAGAATATGTGAAATAACATGTCCTCTGCAGCAACATAGAAGCAGCTAGAGACCATTGTCCTGAGCGAATTAGCACAGAAACAGAAAACTGAATACCATATGTTCTTAATAAGTGGGAGCTTAACACTGTACACACACAGGGACAAGGATGGGAATAACAGACAATAGGGCAAACCTAAAGGTGGAAAGGAAACGGGGAGGTAAGGGCTGAAAACCACCCACTGGGTATCATGTCTACCACCCGGGTGACGGACTCCAAAAAAACCCAAGCCCTACCATTATACAATGTTTCTATGTAACACACCTGCACATATACCCCCTGAATCAAAATAGAAAAAAGAATACCCCAATCATAAAAGATCTGAAAGTGCTGCAGAAACCTACAGGTATCATCAGCAACCTCCTTCTAAAGTGGAAAACTAATGCTTTTTATTTGCCAGTCATCTCTGAAGCGTTCAAAGTCTTCAAAAAGCATTATTTTCTTGATAGAAAGACACTTTTAACAGACCTCTGTTGGGTAATCAATTGAAGAGGCTAGCAAACTTTTGCATAAGATATTTTTAATATGGGAAATAATCTGATGCACTGACTGCTTACAGCCTTCACTGTGACTTTTAAAGAGATAGTGCTCTTAAGTTGTATGTTGCAGCTTTTCTAGTAGCTGTTAAAAAGGGAACCCCTCCAATTGGGTCACATCATCAGCTCTGCAGCACAGCAATATCTGGGGTGTGAGCAATGGATATAACCATGGTGAACCCCAGTGCTCTGTGGATGCTACTTGGGTTTCATTCTATGACTGAATTTAGTCCGAATTCTGGGTTTACTGCTGCGAACACTCTCCTTGTGTGGTACCTCTAAAAAGACAAAAAACAATTCAGATCATTGTAGTACTAATATCTTATGTTTACCAAGGGCTTTTAACTTTACAAGATAGTTTTAAAATCTCATTCCATGTGAGTAACTGCCAAGCTACAAACAAGCTACGTGGCAAAAATGTGACTCTAAATTGGATATTGAATGTATTTCTCAAAGTTAAGTGTAGTCAGTGAACTGCCTGAATTCTGGGTCCTGGGAAAGGGGAGTATGTGGTCAAGGAGCAAGGAAGAGAAAGAGGAAGAACGTTTCCTCCTCCTTCTTGTATACATCCCAAGCATGGTGGGGAAAATGTCAACTAGAGTAGCCTTCAGAATCCTCCCTTATCCATTCCTGCACCCTGCTGTCTCCCTGCCCCTCTCTCTCCAGTCTCCTGTGCACAGGCCCTACATAGACCCCACCCCTGGGATGGGTCCAGAAGCCTGTGACCCTCAAGCCTGCTCTCCCTGACATGCACATGAAGAGTGGCTCTGTGACACCCAGCTTCCCAGCCTGAATCCTCCAGACTGGCTGCTGCCGCCTCTGCCCTGCGTTTGGTTGCCTTTGTTCACACCTCTTATTGCTCTTAGTGTATCTACACCCAAGTGTGGACCCCATTGGAGCAGGGACTAAGTCATATTCATCTTTGTAAACTCCCCCTCTCAATTCCTTTCTTCACTCACAGCTCAGAGCAGTGATTTGCTAGTTATTAAAAATAATGACATACAAACAAACAAACAAAAATGTCCCTCTCCTCTGTCTAGGTCTTCTCTTTACTCAGCATTCACAAAGCTCTTTCCTTTACCATAATATAATTTTCCATTCCTTCACTGCAAAACTTTTTTGGGGAAAAAAGTTATTTCAATGCACTAACTCATACATATAGCAGTGTCAGAATGTTCCAGAGATGTCTACATTTTTCAAGGGCTACCTGCTGACTCTAAGGAAGCCTGGAGACTCTGTTCAGGTCTCTTGCAGGGCAGGGGGCTGCCTTGCTTAGGAGGCAGCTCTCCTAAGCTTTGCAAGGCTTCTCATCCTCCAGTTTAGAGCCCCTGGCAATCATTTTGATGGTGGTGTCTGGGAAGAGGGAGAAGGGTGGCTGTGTGTTTTTGTAGGTTATTGTTTGCAGCTTGGGGGCTAACTGTATATAGTTATTATCCTCTACCTTAAATAATTAAAACTTCTCAGCCGGGCTCGGTGGCTCAGCCTGTAATCCCATGCCTTTGGGAGGCTGAGGTGAGTGGATTGCTGAGCCTGTGGGTTCGAGACCCGCCTGGGCAGCGAGACCTCAACTCTACAATAAATAAAAAAATCAGCCGGGTATGGTAGCGCATGCCTGTAATTCTGGCTACTTGGAAGGCTGAGGCGGAAGGATCGCCAGAGCCCAGCAGGCGAGGCTGCAGTAGCCGGGAGGGGCCACTGCACTTCAGTCTGGGCGACCGAGTGAGACTCCAACTCAAAAAAAATAAAAAAATAAAACATCTCAGTTCTGGATTTGACTTTACCGTTAAGACCTTAATAGAAATGGACACAATTAAAGTCCTTCATTCCATACTGAGGTAACCTCTCCAGTTTAACAAGATAGCCTTTTGTATGTTTTGCAAATTTATCTGCCTAAATCTATGAAAGGTCTAGTTTTCAAATTAGCAGGATAAAATTACATTCAGAATATGAGAGGATGAAATTGTTTAAATTCATGAAAACTATCTCACATATACTCAAACCTAAAACCAAAGGATTGTTATACTTGGAATAAACAACATTTTCACCAGTTCAGTATTGAAAGAAATAGAGAAGGTAAACTCAGACTCTTCCTCTTTCTGAGGCCAGGGACTGTGAGAGGTTGCTAACTTCATTGTTTTTGCTGGGAGGATAGGGGTGACAGAGGATATCAGAAAGTAGATATACTCTCAGTACTACTCCTTGTACCAGGAGGTGCCCTGGGAAGACACCACAGATTGGAGATGAAAACAAAATCAAAATATAGCCTCCACCACCAAGAATATTGAGAGCTTCTTATGGGCAGATTACAGCACTAATTAGAAAAAAGAAAATGAACAAAAGTTAAATTCCTCTTCCTGTAGAATAAAGTAGATTTTTTTTAAATAATAGAAAATCCAACAATTACCAAAAAATAAAAGACAAAATTTTCCATAAACTTCTATTACCCAGAGACAATGTCTGTCAATATTTGGGCATATTTCTTTCTGATCGTTTGCTAGCTTTAAAAAATTGGGTAGATCCTATTTCTTGCATTTGGTATTTTAAAATAAAAATTTTCCATGTCATTAAAAACTCCTTGTAAACATTATTTTAATAGTTGTGTACTATTCACATATATTGATACAGAATAATTTACTTAATCTTTCTTCCATGATTGGACAAGTAGGTTGTTTCTATTTTTTTATATTATATACAGTGATACTGAACATTTTTTGCATTATTCTTTCTGTATTTAGGATTATTTCTTAGATTCTCAAGGATGAACTTGTTAGTCAAAGTAATGCATGTTTTTAAGGAATAACTATACATACTATCAAATTATTTCTAAAAGGGTTATAGCTGTTTGTCTACCTATAAGTATTATCTGTAAAACTAACTACTGTACATTGCCACTCCTGATCAGCACTGTGATTTATTTTTTAAAATCTTCACCAACTTTGTAAATATAAATTGTATCTGGTGTTAGTTTATTAGTTCACAACTGTCGCTTGGTTTTTCTGTTTGTGGGTTGTCTGAGTAAGTTAAATTATTAAAATATGCATATTCCTGTGAGAAGCATAAACATCAGTACTAAAGATACCGATGCTCCTTTAAGATATCTGTGGCCCAGTCAAGTTTTCTTTCGTAAGTATAACTAAATACAGCAAAATGAGAAAGCAAGCCTCACCTTTCTTTAGAGATCTTGAAAAACCTGCTGACCTGTCTTCTTCTTCTTCTTCTCCTCCTCCTTTTTCTTCTTCTCTCTCACCTTCATTTTCTTCTCCTTCAGACTCCTTCTTTCTTGATGCCATGGCTATTTCCTCTAGTTCATTCTCTAGATCTTTATTCCTTATAAGGGTATAATGAAGTTTCTCATTTACATCCTCAAACTTCTCCTCAGCCTGTCTGGCTCTGTTTTCAAGCTCCCTGATGTAGACAAAGTTCAGAGAAACAAAACAAAATTAAAGAGTTTAAAAAGTATCTTTGATATAGATACTGTTTGTCTAAAAGCAGCAGTTGAATTAGATGAATGTGTCTGAAGGGCAGAAATAAAGGAAGCAACAGGATCAATAAATAACCAAGAGGCAGGGCATAGTGACACGTGCCTATAATCCCAGTGCTTTAGAATGCTGAGGTGGGAGGATTGCTTAAACCTAGGAACTCAAGACCAGTCTGGACAACATAGTGACACTCCACTTCAACAAAAAATGAAAAAATTAGCCAGGCTTGAGGACTGCTTGAGCCCAGTAGTTTGAGATTACAGTGAGCCATGATTGTGCCACTGCACTCCAGCCTGAGCAACAGAGCAAGACCCTGTCTCTCTTTTAAAAAAAAAAGTTAACCAAGAATAGGGAAAAGGAGCTACTCTGGATTCTAGTATCAGAGTAGCAATCATGCTGTGATTTAAGAATACAATATATTTATCATTTCTTAGTAAAATATGACTTTTAGGCATTTGGAATTCTCCATCAATAGCCAGGAACTCCCTTTCAAAAGTTAATTTTGGCTTCTTTTAATTGATGTGATCCAACAAACTAAAAACAGACATTAATAGTGTCTGTCCTTTCTTTTCTAGCACTTCTAAAACCAAGTTTTGTAATCAAGAAAACCAGTTTGAGATGTGCTTCTTAATTACTATAGCACACGTTAGATGTCTGTATGGCTTGCTCTTCTTGGCATCCTCAACCATCTTAACTATACTGCCCCTCCTATTCTTTTGGTCATATAACATTCTTTCTCAAGGATAATAATTTCTCCTAGTTCCATTTATTTCCCCAAGTCATCTCTTAGAAACAGACTTTTGTATACATGTATACAAATACTTTGACTTCCTCCATCTCCACTGTAGATAGGGTTGAATGTTCCTACTCGAGCAGTTGTAGTTCACTGCCTCTGGCAGAAGACTTGGAGATAACTATCCCACTCGTGGGGATAAAGAAACCAGGAGAAACCAAGAAGTGTGACTATCTCAACCAAACCTTCTGGCCAGCAATATTCTTACCACTGTGGTGCCTCATACTTACATTAATTTGTCCTGCATATGTTCAATTATAGTCATTGCTTCAAGATATTTTTGGGCCAATGTACCTTGGTTAGCTGATTCTTTCTGACAAAGGAAATATGCAATATGAATGAACTAAGAGTCTCAACAGTTAATACTCTACTTTTTCAGAAAGTTATGAATCAAGGCTTCCCAAATATTCTTTTTCTCTGCTACCCATATTTATCTAGTAGATGATTAAACACACCCTTAATACCAAAAAAGAATAGGGATTTCCTGTGGCCAAATAGCACTGCAGCTTCCACATTATTCATGCTACAGGTGGGCATGAATTTGACAATAGTTGTAATGAAGAAGCAGGGAAAATAATAACAAAAAAAAAAAAAAACAGAGAAAGAAGAAAAGATTTAAAAAATAAGAAGAGTCGACATGTTTATCTAATAAATTAAGTTAAAAATCAAGGAAATTAACTTGTATATTTATCTTACTAATAATTTACTTCACTAAGCATATAACATTGCAAAATCTAATTAGATCTTTAAATTCCTTAGGGAACTTTGTAAATATCAGTTAACGGTGTAACTCTTGCCAGGCAGAGAAAATATAAAATTAAAAAAAAAAACCCAACTATTTTGACTCTAGATATATTCCTGAAAACAAAACACGAGGAAGACAAGAGAGGAAATTTAGAGAACAAAAACTCTAAGCATATTTTTAATTGACTAGTTTGACAATTTCCCAGAACTCTATACTTTACAAACTCTCATTTATCCATGGTTCCCAACCAGAGGCAAGTACAAGGTAAACTCGACATTACAGGTGGAAAACGAGCTGTGGAGGGGAGGCAGCCTGCTGAGTGTAGCATGACCCAGAGGCCAAGACAACCCACAGCCAGGCCTCGGTCCTCCATTACACAGTCTGTTATACTATATGCTACCTTTTCCTAAAAGGAAACCAGAGACAAGAAATGTGTTAAGTTTTTCCCTTTTATTCTAGATATTTTACTGTCTTCACATATTTTTCTGTTTTGCTGCCCCTTCTTAGGTAATTTGAGAAGCAAATACCATCATTTTTTAACAAGCAGCATGTGCTGTGGCTGTGCCTATAGGCACATGCTACTAACAAAAGAAAGGTTTTCAGAGCAGAGGCTTCTAGAACTGGCATTCTTCACATGGTTCACAACCCTGTGAAACAACTATGACTATAGGTGACATCCAAGGCAAATCAGGATTGTTAACAGTTAACCGTGTGCATTGGAGCCTTCTGACTCTTTTCCTCACTCTATCAACAGATGTATGTTTAGTTACAATGTGCTGGGAAAATATCCCCTTGTTTTGAAACTGGCAAACACAGATGAATATTCTGTGGTTTATTATCTGAAACCCAGTTCCCATGGTTGCAAATGCTGGATATTGGGCTGCTAGCATCCATTTGGGATAGGTCACCCTATAGGTTACCCCTATTCTGATGCAGATGCTGCAAGGCTAACCACAGTTACTACCCTCTTCTCAAATTCCTAACCTTGGAATCAATGGCACTGGACCTTCCTTGCTTGCGCCTGTCAGCTGTAGCTTCCAGCTAGTCTCTGCCAAGTCTGCCTTTGGCTTTTTTGGTTTGGTTCAATTCTACTAATGGGCTTTGGGTTGGACTAACCTCTCTGGCTTGGGAGTGCCTTAGGGAAGTTCTAACTACAAGCTCAGTTACTTGGGACCCAGTTCTCAGTACTGAACTGCTAACTGGGCTTAGGGTCCCTGTCACCTTTGGACATATTTCCTGGAGACACCAATTTCAAGGGCTCTTGTCTTTTGCTGTTATACAATGGGTAAATGAATCACTGCTCTTCACACCTATGCCTGGGGTCCAAGGTACTGTGGGAGGAAAATACAGATCTCTGTTTTGATACTGGAAAACACAGATTACTGATCTGTGGTTCATTTTAAACCCCTCAATAGTAGGGTTTCAGACCATTCCCATGTTTGCAAATGCTGCTAGCATCCAGGTGGTAGTTACCCATGGGTCACCCCTATTTCAGTGCAAATGACAGAGGTAAAGGTAGAATGTCTAATTTTGTGTTGAAAATACTGCTGATCTTCTAAGTCTGGTCCCTGCTTGCCTTTCCAAAGGAGCTCATGGGTGATCCAGCAAGATCCCTATCTTCCTCATATACTTACAACTCTTTACAGACACCCAAGACCTATGGTTCTAAGATGAACCAGAAAGAGATTGTTTCTAATGTCTTGCTTGTTAGGGTAGCTGAGCTATAGGCAACCCTATTCACACAGCCAAGCACCTGTACTTAGGGGCCACTGCAGCTCTAAGCATTTTTGGTAGCCTCTGGGAGACCATGCTGAAATTAGTCAACTTACATCTCCATCGGACAGCTAAGATGTTACAAAATCCAGGTTGCTTGCCTACAGGGACAATGCTGGAACGATTCTGACTTAAAGAGGGCCACAGGGTTGCTATGCAACAAGTTTTCAGGACTGATTAAACTGGGACACACGTGAAGTGACCTTTCCCCAGGCAGGGCAGAGGCAAAGTCAATGCTGCTTAATGGGATCATTTGGTCCACTGGTGAATCAGGCACAGTGCCAAATTGGGTAGCTGTGCTTGTATATGGCATGGCAGGCCTTTTTTTTTTTTTTTTTTGGTACATGGATGCCTGCATTGAGTACAATCCCCAGGAATTCCCACAAAGCCCTATCTCCAAACTAACTGAGGAGAATTTTCCATAGCAGATAGTCCAGACCTCTGCTGTGGTGATACTAAGGCATTAGGCAACAGCTTAAAAGAGCTCCTGATTGATCAGGCCAAAAATTAGCCTGCCCCAACCTGATGGTGACTTACCACCACCCCGTTGAGATATCACTGAAATCACAGCCCCTGAAAAATCTCCTACTATAGTCATTTACAAGAGGGAGATCTAGATGTAACTGGAATTCTCCACTCTCAGGTCCCAAGCCGACTAGTGGTCTGTCTGGAGCTATATCTCACTAGAAACCCAGGACCCAATTGTCTCTTGAAGTTCTCCTGTTCTACAACTCGAGTCCCAGGGACATGACAAATTTCTGCTTCCCTATCACTTCCTTCCCTTTTCTTTCCTTCCCCAATGACAGTCAAATGTACTTGATTTGATGTGTATATTTGAGAACTGTGTTCTTAGGCCAGGAAGAGAAACTGTGTAACTGCCCAATAGATCTGGTGCCTTGGACTTGTATCCCTACCAAATGGTTATTTTTGTTCTCAGGACCAGAGGATGAGTGTGAAAAAGCATGAAAAAACAGAAAGGAAAGAAAGCTTACAAAGTTTTGAAATTTTAAATTGCCCATAGGAACACCAGTGTCTTTGTGAATGGGAAGAACTTGGAGTTCAGGCCCTGTTCGCCCAGAGATTCTGCAGTGTGGCCTAATCAAAGTACACTTTCCCCAGCTCCATTCCCGGCCCAAATCTCTAACATCATCAGTCAGGAAACTTCATTCTCTGGGTACCAATGTCCCCAAATATCAGCCTGGTCCCTAACTAGCCTTGCACAATGAGGCCTCCTCTATTTGAGCACGTGGTGATCTTTTCTCCCTGTGCAGTCCCAGCCAGCATTCTACAGGAAGAATGTGAGACTTCTTGACCTCCAGGAACTTGAAAGTAATTGCACTTTGGTCCACTCTCCAGACAGTCTGGTTAATGAGAACATAGACAGTTTGGTTTTCAGTTATCTACAGCAGCAGCAGCAAACTTTTCAAAAGCCTGGAGATGGACTTTCTGGGTCACATTCTCCTCAGCTGGGCTGTCCATGTGTCACTACACAGCATCACACAGAATGGCGGTCTCACACAGAATGATGGTATAAACCCTACATCATCAAAGACATGCAATACTCCTCAGTTTTGCCCCAGGCTGCAGGCTCCTAGTTTCCTGTCTGCTTCCTGCCTGGCTCCAGGGCCTGACCCTGACACCCACTCTGAATGGCACAGCAGAGTTCTTACCTCAGGGAAGCAAGTCTGAGGCAGGAGGGCATGTAGCTGGGACTGGTGGGGTCAGCAGATTAAAAAGCGTTACCTTTTATCTCCCTTTTTTATGTCTCATGACACTGTATTCTATTCTCACTGTTTCCTCTTATGCCTTTGCCTCACAGTTTTCATGACTGATCTATAAATGAATTATTTTAAAAACGTGTTGAAAAGGCACCACTTTAGGAGAATGTGCTTATAATCTCCTGCAACACACTTACCTCAATTTTGCCAACTCCTGCCCCTCCACGTGGTTTCCCCCGTGCTTCCTTCCTGCCAGAATTGGATCCTATTTCCTGCAACCTCCCTGGATATACATCCCTGCAATTCGCCTCTACCTTGGCCAGTGTCACCACCCTAGTGACCCAGCTGCCATTTATCACTGTCCCCAGCATAGCCCCCAATCCTTACTACATGCACTGCTGCCTACACAAATGGATCAGACCATCTAACAATGAAATGGTTCTTAACTTTAAGATGAGAAATTTGATGAAATAGCTTGATCCCACCCCAATCCAAGAAAATGCACAATATGAACAATTTTAGGGGATTAATGGGATGAAGCCCACTCATAAACCCCTGAAGTCATGGCGTTCTATAGAGAGTGAGATGCTAATCTAGAGCTGACTTAAATCCTCCATGGTCCCAGAACAAACTTTCTGTGGAGAAATTTTCTTGCTGAGTTTTCATAGCCACTGTCTCTAAGTTTCCAATTTTCTATCAAATCTCATGGTTGGAGGTATGTGCTTATCATAGGTATGTACTTACCACAGCTCTCAATAAAGTCTATCAAATGAATGTTTTAAAATTGGTCAAATATTGACCAAGAGATTGTTAAACTAAGGAAAGAGATGAAATGCTGATGTTAAAATGAGATTTAAAAATAAGAACGTGGGGGAAAGTTCAAGACGACTGACTCGACAGCAAATGACGGCCATTCTTAACAAAGAAGCCTAAAAGGAGGAGTGAGGCTGCTGCTTTGGGGGTCAGCTTGGAAACCCAGGCTAGAGTTTGTCAGTTGTTCTCCCAGGGACATGGAGAACAGACAGCTCCAAGCTCCAGTTACCCCCAGAAGTGGCCCTGTCATGAGATCAGGTTCAAATTACTGAATTAAGCTGGTCTGAACAAAATAAGGAGAAAAGAATTAGGAAAAATGAACAATGGCTATGAAAGGTCTGGGATCATGTAAAGAGACCACATGTAAGGCTGGTTGATATCCCTGAGAGAGAAGAGGAAACCGAGAACACTCTGTCTCACTATCTAGGTGGCTGTGCAGACACAAGAAAATTCAGGGAAATTTTGCAAGGTATTACATGAGAAGGTCATTCTCAGGGCATATAATAATCAGACTTGCCAAGGTGAGTGTGAAAGAAAAAATCCCAAAGGCAGTTAAAGAGAAGGGACAGACAACTTACCAAGGGAGATCCATCAGAATTGCAGCAGACCTCTCAGCAGAAAACTTACAAACCAGAAAGGACTGAGGACCCATCTTTAACATTCTTAAAGAAAAGCAGTTCCAGCCAAGAATTTTCTCCCCCACCAAGCTAAGCTTCATTAATGAGGGAGAATTAAAATATTTTCCAGACATGTGAGCCCTAAGAGAATATGCCACTTCCAGACTAGCCCTTCAAGAGATGCTTAAGACAGTTCTAAGCACAAAAACGAAAGAATGGTTCCACTCATCACAAAAGCATAAGCAAGCACACAGTTTACAGAGTATACAAATCAACCATACAACTAGAACACAAAGCACTTTCTTAGCAACAAAATGACAGGAACAAACCCCAGATTTCAATAATTAGCTTAAATGTAAATGGACTGAACACACTACTCAAAAGGCACAGAGTGGCAAATTGGATAAAGAAGCATGATCCATCCTTCTGCTATATTTAGGAAGCCCATCTCACTGCACATGATATCCACAGGCTCAAAGTAAAGGGCTGGACAAAAACCTTCCAGGCAAATAAAAAATAAAAAATAGCAGGAGTAGCTAGTCTTATAAAACAATCTTTAAACCAATAAAGGATAGTAAAGGACAATGATAGAGAGTTCAACTCACCAGCAAGAAATATCCATCTTGAATGTGTACATACCCAATACAGGAACATCCAGATTTATAAAACAATTGCTAATTAATCTGAGAGCACATAAACAGCCATGTAATAATGGTCAGAGACTTCAATACCCCACTAACAGCTTTGACAGATCATCAGGGCATAAAACTAACCAAGAAATCTGGAACCTAAACTTGAACTGGACCAATTAGATCTAATAGACATCTTCAGAACATTTCACCCAACAATCATAGAATATACATTCTTCTCATGAGCACACGGAGCTCTAAGATCAGCCAAATCCTTGGACACAAATCAAATATGAATAAATTTAAAAAGCATCTTCTTAGACCACAGCAGAATAAAAATAGGTATCATCACCAACAAGAATTCCCCAAAACACACAAATACATAGAAATTAAATAACATGCTTCTGAATGATTTTGGGGTTAACACAGAAATCAAGACAGAAACAGTTTTAAAAAAATACCCAAATCTATGGGATACCATGAAATCATACTGAGAGGGAATTTTATAACATTGCATTTACACATTAAGAAAACAAGAAATCTCAAGTAAACAGTCTAACATTGCACCTAAGGGAGCTGGAAAGACAAGAACAATCCAATTCCAAAACCAGTAGAAGAGTGGAAATTAAAAAATAAAATCAAAGTTTAATGAAATAGAGACCAAAAAATCATACAAGGGATCAACAAATTGAAAGGCTGATTCTTTGAAAGGATAAACAAGATTGACAGAGCCCAGACCAGATTAACAAAAAAAGAAGAGAGAGAAAATGTGAATAAACAAGATCAGAAATGAAAAAGGTGATGTTACAACTGACCTTGAAGAAATATAAAAGATTATCAGAGATTACTATAAACATCTGTGAATAAGCTAGAAAATGTGAAGGAAATGGAGAAATTCCTGACAACACACAACCTCCCAAGACTGAAACAGGAAGAAATTGAAACCCCAAACAGACCAATAACAATCCAAAAACTCAATTCAGTAATAAGAAACCTCCCCACCAAAAAAAGCCCTAGGCCAGTTTCCCAGCTAAATTCCACCAGATACTAGAAAGAGCTGATCCCAATCCTACTGAAAGTTTACCAAGCAATTGAGAAGGAAGGAATCCTCCCTAGCTCATTCTATGAAGCCAATATACTCCTAATATCAAAAAGTGAAAAAGACCCAACAAGGAAAGAAAACTTCAAGCCAATTTCCCTGATGAATGTAGATGTAAAATTCTCAACAAGATACTAACAAATTGCTCCAACTACACAATACAAGGAACATTCATCATGACTAGGTAGGCTTCATTCCGGGGATGCAAGGCTAGTTCAACATACACAAATCAATAACTGTAATCCACCACATAAACAGATGTAAAATCAAGGACCACATGATTATCTCAAAAGATGCAGAAAAACGTTTGATAAAATCCAACATCTCTTCTTAATAAAAACCCTCAAACACCTAAGCATCAAAGTAACACTCCTCAAAATAATAAGAATCATCCGCCGGGCTCGGTGGCTCAGCCTGTAATCCTGCGCCTTTGGGAGACTGAGGTGAGTGAATTGCCTGAGCCCGCGGGTTCGAGACCCGCCTGGGCAGCGAGACCTCATCTCTACAATAAATCAAAAAAAAAAAAATCAGCCGGACGTGGTAGCACATGCCTGTAATTCCGGCTACTTGGAAGGCTGAGGCGGAAGGATCACTGGAGCCCAGCAGGTCGAGGCTGCGGTGGCCAGGAGTGGCCACTGCACTCCAGTCTGGGCAACCGAGTGAGACTCCAACTCAAAAAAAACAAAAAAAACAACAAAAAAAGAATCATCCATGACAAATCTTCAACCAACATCATACTTAATGGGAAGAAGCTGGAAGCATTCCCTCTAAAAACTGGAACAAGACAAGGACGTCTACTCTCACCACTCCTGTTTATCATGGTACTGGAAGTCCAAGCCAGAGCAATCAGGCTGGAGAAAGAAATTAGAGATATCTAAATAGGAAAAGAGGAAGTTATATAGATGATATGATTCTATATCTAGAAAACCCTAGAAAGTCTGTCAAAAACCTCCTTGTACTGAGAAACAACTTCAGTCCTCTTGGAGGAGCTAATAGTTTTGTTAGAACCATGTAATTTTCATATAATGTTAAATAGTTTTGAATTTTCTAATTGGGTTCCAGATACATACCCAAGAAGTCAACACATCAGCTTCAAATAGAGGTTTGGAATGAACATTTTCATCTTCTCCAATGAATCGAATGAGCTTTTTCTTCTCTATAGATGTTGAAGGTTGCTGGAGCACAGAAACACCATGGATATGTTAGTGAGTTAGTATGTAGCACAGTGGCATATCAAGTTACCTGGCACTATGTCGGAAGTTTTGATTTTCCATTTGCTTTAATCATTCAAGAAGCATTTTTGTAGACTTACACACAACAAACACTAGAAGTTGGTGGGGATGGGAGTGAGGACAAGGGGATATAACTGTGGGAAAAACAAAGAGAATTTCTTCCAGAACTCAGTATAGTAGGAGTGGTAGATAGTAAAATGAATAAGTATGGTATAATATGATTACTGTTAGCAGAAAGGTGTGTTCCAAGGGCTGCATGCACCTAGAAAATGGCCCTATATTCTGTCTAGATACTCCAGGAAGTCTTCACAGAGAAAATGACAGTTGAAGGCTGAATAGGTGCTTGTATAATAAAGAGAAAAGGTCCTGAACTAAGTCCACAGATGGTAATAATAATAATAATAATAATAATAATGGTTTCCATTTATTCTGTGCCTTCTATATGCCAAACAATTTACCAGAAATAAAACAGAAAATGCTAATCAAAAGAGGCTTGATGTTATATAGCATTTTTGTTCTGTTGTCCTGCCTGTAGAGTGAGTAGAAGGCCTAGGGCAGAGCCTGGAGTGGTGCCAGCATTTAAACTATAGGTGGAGAAGAAACACATTGGGGAAGTAAATCAAGGCACTGTACAGAATATTAGGCAATCAAGAGCTCTGGAAGCCAAAGATAGTAGTAGTCAATCTAGTAATTAGCAAAGGCTCCTATGCCAGACTTATCTGGGTTTGAATGTTGGTTCTGCCACTTACAGCTATTTGATTTTGGGTAAGTCAGTGCCCCCCTCTAAGATTTAGTTTTCTTACCTGTAAAATGGGGGTGATAATGTATCCCTTAAAGTTGTGTTGCATAGATAAGAGATATCATGAGCAAAGCACATCTCTCATGACAGGCACTCAGTTCTTGGTAGTTATCACTGTATTATTGTTATTATTACAATGTCCCAGGAAGGGTTGTTTTTACTACAAATGCCCCAGCAGGGGTACAGACAAGGTAAGGGGAGAAGAAGTATGGAAATGGGCCTGGGAGGAGAGGAGAAAGGCAGCTCTTGTCGCCCAGGCTGGAGTGCAGTAGCACAATCATAGCTCGCTACAGCCTCAAACTCCTGGGCTCAAGCGATCCTCCTGCCTCAGCCTCCCAAGTACCTAGGAGTACAGGAGTGTACCATCATGCCCAGCTAATATTACTTTATTTTTGTAGAGGTGAGGTCTTGCTATGTTGCTCAGGCTGGTCATGAACTCCTGGCCTCAAACTCTCTCTCTGCCTTGGCCTCCCAAAGCGCTGGGATTACAGGTGTGAGCCATCACACTGGCCTGAGATAGAGTTTTAAACTACTAAAGATTGAAAAATCTGACAACGAAGGCTAAAAAAATAGCGCCAAGGTGAAAGATTACATAGTTAACACAAATATTAGCAAAAATGGGCTAATGGGAAATGACTGGATTTAGAAAGGGAAAGGGATACTCCTTCCTCTGAAATAAAGTGACAAAGACAAACGTGTCTGCAGATATGGTTAAATCCATATAGGGGAAGGAAGGAAGGAAGTTGAAGAGTTCACTCCAGATGATCTACTGCTTTCCACTGTGTGTGTTGGGGGGAGAGGGAGGTGTGTGTGTGTATATGTATTCTTTAAGATAAAGGGAAAGAAAAAATAATACTAAATAATCTGTAGTCTGCGCACCCTGAAGGGCCCTGGCTTAATAAATTAATTATTTATTAATACTAAATAATCTTACCTCTTCTGCTTCTTCATTTTCCTCCTGAAGTTTCTTATCTTCGTTACTTTCTTCTTCATCCTCTGTGGAAGGCTTGTCTACTTCAGGCTCAATGAACTCTTTTATAGCTTCCTGTGAGATAAAACAATGTGATAACTATAGTTTAGTGTATATAAACATTATTAGCAATTATTTGTTCAAAAATATTTAATGGACACCAACCCGGCAACTGGGTACGATGCTAGTGACAAGGACACAAAGGTTGATAACAGTGGTCCCTACTCTTAAAAAACTTATGACTTCATGGATAAGAAAATGCTATGGATGCATATAGTCACACAGTAGGAGCACCTAACCTAGACCAGGTACTGGACACGGATAAAAGAGGGGGTTGGTCAGGAAGGTTCCTGAAGGAGATAATGTTGAACTTTCCTCTTGAAGGATGGGAAAGGAAAAGAAGGCACAAGGGAGTTCAAGGCAGAGGATGTTCCGTGTGCATGATTGGTTCTGAGAGCACAAGTGGTTCGACAGGGCAGAAACTGAGAGGCAAATGGACAGGGAGGCGATCATAGAAGGGCTAGATCATCACACCAGGGAGATTGGATTTTATCCTGAAGGCACTAACGAACTGATTGATCTACTTTGCATTTTAAAACAATCACTCTAGAAACAGGAGAGTAGATTTAAAGAAGAGGAAAAAGGGAAGAAGAGGGAGGAAGACGGGGAAAATAAAAAGACACAAGAGGGGAATGAACAACACAGTGGTTGCAGGAATAAAGAGGATGAGGGTTCAAGAGATATTTAAGAGGTAACGCCTAGTGATGGACATGGATGGTTAGGGAAAGGGTGCATCTTGAATGATACTTGGCTTATGGTTTAGGCCTTTAGACAGATGATGATGCCATTCACAGAGATAATGAACAAAGTTGGACAAGTAGGTTTGGGGTGAGAGATGATTTCAGACTGGGCTGTGTGAGTTTGAGGCTGCAAGATATCCAAGTGGAAATATTCAGTAAGTAGCTGAATATGTGAATCTAGAGTTTAAATGGAGGAATTTGGGTTAAGGATAGAGAGTGACAGTTATCGCATTTAGTTAAAGACAATTATACCCAACGGTGAATTTGTGAAGTAGTGAGAGAACCAGACCATAGGACAGTATACTAGTTCGAAGTACTAGGGAAGAAAGAGGTGCCTGCAAAGGAGGCCTAAAGGAGCCTCAGAAGCATGAGAGTCCACCAGGAAAGCCAACAGAGAAGGAGAAAAAGCCAACAATGCAGAATACCTCAAAGAAGTCCACTCTAATATAGACAGAAAAAAATGCCCTCTGGGTATTTACAGCAGCAGTGTTTATAAAAGCAAAAGCTAGAGGCCAGGCATGGTGGCTCACACCTATAATCCTGGCACTTTGGGAGGCTGAGGTGAGAGGATTGTCTGAGCCCATGGGTTCAAGAACAGCTTGGGCAACTTGGCAAGACCTCATCTTTACAATTTTAAAAAAATTAGCCAGGCGTGGTGGCATGTGCCTGTAGTTCCAGCTACTTGGAAGGCTGAGGCAGGAGGATCACCTGAGCCCAGCAGGTGGAGGCTGCAGTGGCCATGAGCATGCCATTGCACTCCAACCTGGGAGACAGAGTGAGATGCCTACTCAAAACAAAAGCAAAAGCTAGAAATAAGCTTAATGTTCACAATAGGAAAATTCATAAATAAATTAAGGTATAAGTCATATAGCAAAATATTTTATAGCAATGTTAAATTATGCTGTGGAAGTATGTATATGACATAAAAAATGTTCAAAATACTTTCCCAAAATGAGAATACTTTTTTTCTTGATAGCATGATTGCTGTAAAAGATCTGAACAATACAGAGGGACTACGAATCTTAACTCTTACAGTTAACAATTTCTATCAGTTTGGTGAATATATTTTCCAGACTGCTTTATGCATCTATAAACGTTTTAATATAAGTGATAATTTATGTTATACTCTAAAATCTGCTATTCTCATTAATATATCATAGATTATATTTATTTCACTACATAGACATCTACTTTGTCTGCAGAGTTCCATTATTTGAATATACCATAGTTTATTGATATATGTATTATTTATATTATGTTATTATAAAATGTTGTAATTAACATCCTTATACAGATATATCATATATTAGAATTATCAGACTACAAAAGTTTCACTTAATCTGTTTAAATAGATAAGAGACTGAAAATATGAGTAAAAAGATTTTAAAATGATCAGACTTGTAAAATAATCAAATAAGACTTTGGCAATTGAGTTTCAAAACTCAACAGAAAGGTTTAATAGCAGATTAAATTAAGATGGAAAGCAAATTAGTGGACTGGGAAGGATAAGTCAAAAAATAATTATCCAAAATGCAAAGCAGAGGGGCAGAGATATAAAAGAAGATTAAGAGACATGGGGAGTAGATTCCAATATACATCTATTCAGAATCCAGAAGGAAAGAAGAGAATAAATACAGTGGAGGCAATATTTGAAGAAATAATGACTGAGAATTTTCCCGATCTAATAAAAGATACCAAACCAAAGTTTCAGGAAACCAAGAGAATAACAAGCAAAATTAAAAAGAAAAGAAAATCCACACTCACATGAGGCAAAGTGAAACTGCAAAATGCCAAAGACAAAAAGACAGTATTAAAAGTAGTCAGAGCCGGGCTCGGTGGCTCAGCCTGTAATCCCGCGCCTTTGGGAGGCTGAGGTGAGTGGATTGCCTGAGCCCGCGGGTTCAAGACCGGCCTGGGCAGCGAGACCTCATCTCTACAATAAATCAAAAAATCAGCCGGGCGTGGTAGCGCATGCCTGTAATTCCAGCTACTTGGAAGGCTGCGGCGGAAGGATCGCCAGAGCCTAGCAGGCGAGGTTGTGGTGCACTCCACTGCACTCCAGTCTGGGCGACAGAGTGAGACTCCAACTCAAAAAAAATAAAAAATAAAATAAAATAAAAGTAGTCAGAAAGAAGAGATGAATTAGTTTCAAAGGAATTGACAGCTGAATTCTCAATGGTCAGTTTGGTAACACTAAAATCCAGAAAACAATGAAAGTTATGTCATCAATGTGCTGGGAAAAAATAATACCATCCAAGAATTAATAGCATACCCAGCAAAGCAATTTTAAGAATAAGGGTGAAATAAAAACATTTTCAGATAAACAGAAACTGAGTTTGCCACCATGAGATCCTCACTAAAGAAATGTCTAAAGGTTAAGGCAGAAGACTCCAGGTGGAAGGTCTGAGATTTCTGAAGGAAAAATAAATAAATTTAATTATAAATAAACTCCAATGCCAGTATATGTCTTAAAGATAAATCACTAAAGGCATTCCTGCTAAAGTCAGAGAAAAGAAAAGAATGCTTGCTATCGCCACTACTATTTAACATTGAATTGGAAGAATTATTCAATACAATTAGGCAAGAAAAAGCAATTAGAGGTATCAGAATTGAAAAGAAAGAAATAAAACTATCTCTATTTGTAGATGATTTGATTAAATATCTAGAAAACCCATAAGAATTCATTGAAAAACTCCTAAAAATAATAATTTTGTAAAGTCACAGTGTAGGAAATTAAAATACAGAAATCAATATCAAATATACAAATGTTAATAGTTACTAGTTGGAAAATATAATGGAAAAGAATATCTCATTTAAAATAGCAAAAAAATCCTCAGGCATAATTCTAACAAGATATGTAAACATATCTGTTTTAACTTATATAAATTTAATATAATGCATTTTTTTAAAAATCATATTTTTAGAGTAGATTGTAGAGTTATATAGAAGAATAAGTCAGGCATGGTGGTGTGCACCTTAGTCCCAGCTACTCTGGAGGCTGAGGTAGGAGGATCACTTGAGCCTAGGAATTTGAAACCAGCCTGAGCAACAGAGAAAAATCCTGTCTCTAAAAAAGAAAAAAATTACACAAATAAATACATAAAAAAGAATAATAAATAGACAGAAATAGCAATGAAATGCCTTAAAAAGATCAGTGAAGAGGACTGGCCCTACCAGATATGAAAATGTATCATAAAGCCTCTATAACTAAAATGTGGTAATGACCCATGAATAGACAGATCAGTGGAAAAGAACAGAAAATCCAGAAATAGATTTGAATTGAATATTGTTGTTTTCAAATGTTGGAAATCAGCTTTGTTCATATTAACCCCAAAAGACTGAACTAGGACCAATGGTTAGAAAAATCTACAAAGAAATACATTTACATTTAGTTCAACAGAAAGAATAATATTCACCAAAACTGAATGAGCGCTCTCTGAAAGCAGTTCTCTGGCATTTCAGATATTCAAACTTAGGCATAATTACCAAGTGAGAATGTTATATTAAGATTCATGCACCAGACTCATGCAAGGTTGAATTCAATCACCTTTAAAATCTCTTCTGTTCTTAAGTCTCTGTAATTCTGTTAAAAAAAAAAAAATCTTGAATTTTTTCCCCTAGATCTCATGTGACAAAATCATGTCTATGGTACTTTATTAAGTTCCTAAAAGTATCTGTAATTTAAATTTATAATTTTGGCCGGGCACAGTGGCTCAAGCCTGTAATCCCAGCACTTTGGGAGAGCAAGGCAAGAGGATTGCCTAAGCTCAGGGGTTCAAGACCAGCCTGGGAAACTTGGTGAGACTTCATCTCTACAATAAATAAAAAAATAAGGCGGGCATGGTAGTGCACACCTGTCGTTCCAGCTACTTGGAAGGCCGAGGCAGAATGATTGCCTGATCCCAGCAGGTCAAGGCTGCAGTAGTCATGAGCATCCCAGTGCCCTCCAGCTTGGGCGACAGAGTGAGACTCAAACTCAAAAAAAAGAAAAACAGAAAAGATTTATAATTTTGATAAAATCATTCAGTGCCTATTTCAAAATAATTCTTGTCAAGATCTGGGCAGCAAAAAAATAAATGAAAAAAAATAAAAGAACATTTGTTGTAAGTGAATAATTTAGGAAGGTGGTGTTTCTTCAGTGTTTAAATGTTTAAAAAAAAATTCTCACAAATGTGTAGAAAGACCCTTCCCTTTCCTTCTCAGACTCCAAAACATTGACATATTGGCCATCAGACACACATGTACAGTATGGCTCTGATAGCAATGAGAGCTTCT